AATATAAATCAAAACCAAAACAAAAAAATAATGTTAAACAAGCAGTTGGCTTCTCTTCCAGATTTTGTCCTGCTAAGTTTTCTATCATTGGAGCAAAGGATATGAAATATTTGCGTAAAAACATAAATTATCACCAAATCTTAGATACAAGACGTCTATAACTTGCTGTCTTTGAATATGTCGGAAAAGTAATAAATTCACCAATTTCTCGCGAATAATTCTTTTATTAAAAATGAAGAAAAAAATGGACGTCGCAGATTGTACAGAACGATTAACATAAAAGTCCCTATCTTTAATAACTTGATTCTGTAAAGTTAAGGGCCCCTTTCAAAGCAAATCGTAGATTGTGCATACCCTTAGAACATCTGATTTAGCTTATGAAATTTAACTTAAAATCAGATATTTTCAATGGAAACATCTATGAAGGTGCGTTGTGCTTTCAGTTTTTTACAATAATAAGAATAATGAGGTTTAAAATGTCAATCATGAACTATAACTTTCATATTGGTTTTAAGTCTTGTCTAAATATTTTGCTTAAGTGTTATTGATTGAAAGAAAGAGATTCGTAATTTATTAATGGGACACATTATGTGCTTACAATTTAACTCTCCATTATCAAGTTTTGTCAAGATTATAACGATATAAAGTTTGGTAGAAATTCTGTTTAGTAGTAAGTAATTCAACTCAAGTTTAAAAATGTTTCTTAAATCTCACCTGTAATGTAAAAATAAAGAACAATCGCTCACCGTTTTTTTTTTTTTTTTCATTACACAAATATATTTTTCTCAGTGAAAAATATACTTTTTACACTTTATACATATATGCTCAAATAAGTTGCGGTTGAGTATAATAATTTGTGATTACCCTGTATAGTAAAAATGACCGGATGCTTTAATATTTATCAAAAAAAAAAAAACTATCCCTAGCTGAAAACATTTCCAGTCCTATTGATTTTTAAAACTCTGAACTACTATTATTATTTCAGACCTGAAATCAATTATTCAGCGCTGTCACATATCACAAACTATACCAAACAGTTGGAAATATCGAGGCCCGAGTGGCTTTTCGTGTATCAATCATTTTCTCGATCTATTTCCATGAATCTGTCATTTCCGCAGAAACAGAGAGATATTGCCTGGACTAGCCAATGGTTAGAAGTCCAAACTGTGATAAAACTTTTACAAGCAGCAAAATTTATAAAAAAAGACGAATATAAAATTTATTACAATATATTTTTTTTATTACAGAATTGTCGTTTAGCACAATAATTCTATAAATCAAACAGAAACACTTGAATTAAGATTATTCATTTAATTAATTAATAATTAATTTAATTTGATTATATCCCTCTTTCAAGGCGTTATTTGTTTTAAGATTCTATCCTAATAAAAACGGCCTTATGTTCCTAATTCGAATAAAATTTCCTACCTTGTGAGCTCATTATAAGGAAATTGTTAACACAAAAGGAACGTCCAATTAATATATTTAATTACTTAATTTCGGAACATCAGTTTTCAAAAGGAAGGTCTTATTAATTTTATTACACAAAGAGTGAAGCGTGTAAAGTTAAAGTTTGGCGCGAAATGTTTTGGTAAATTGTATCAACGTAAAGAAAGACTGTTCTCATGTATTATTTTCAAATCTTGGAAGCGATACATACTTACAGAATAAAGTTAATAAATAACATTGTTATTTTTTATGTTTCACGAAGTTTGGATTATGTGGCTAAATTAGCAGCGCCAACGACGGCAATACAGCGGCTTAAGTGTATATAGCATAGTGCATATATTGTAATTGTATATTGGGGCAAAGATTTTAAAATATCAAAGAGAAAGGCAAACTTGGGAAAATAAAATTGGTAAAATTGATTTTAAAGAAATAAATTCTAAGTTGAATAAGTGTGACCAATAGGAGTACAGTAGATGGTTGAAATTGAGAAAGAAAAGATAAAATAAATAAATAAAAATGAATTTCAAACAAAATTTAAAGAAATATAATGTAATAAAGTATATTCGAAATTGAAAATGTGATTGGATTACTAGAATTAGAAAGTGAAAACATTTGTGGGATATGAAAAGAAAAAGAGTGAGGTAACTAAGAAAGAAAAATAATAAATTGTGGGAGATGAGTTTTGAAAATAAAATTTTTATTTTAAAGGGAAGATAATTTGATTGCCAGAAAGAAACAAATGTATTCAATAAAGAAAAAACATTTAGAGGAAGGAGTGGAAGAAAACAGTCTCGAGAGCTAAATTAATTGAAGATTACGGACAATAGAAATTTAAGTACGTCCAATAATAAAACAAAGTTAACTGTTATAGATTATTACCCAGTTTCGAGTCAACACAGATCTATTCCAAGTCATCGACGGGGGATAGTAATATAGAAATATCAGCAAGGAGACAACAACAACAAGGAGTTATATGACAGATGACAGGTCAGAACAGAAGTTGTGCTAACAGGTACAGGACAGAAATAGAGGAGATAAAGGACCAAGAAGAAAAGAAATTAGTGTATTAGACAGTGGTAAAGAGGTATAAACCCTTAATATAATACATCTAAATCCAAATTTTGGATATTGTTATTTGGTTTAAGTCAGAGTAGAGGAAGTGGTGTAGGTTTAATTTAAGAATACTTCTATTGACAGAAGATTGAAAATTTTTGGATAAATAGTAAAATAAATTAAGTGTTAGCCAATCACATAATTTTTATTTTAATTTGAAATATGTTGGATCAGAGTAATTAAATGAATTACAAAATTTTTACGAGAAATAGAATAACTGTGGTTAGTTAAAATTCAAATATATTCTTTTTGTCTTTTCCTTCTCACAGCGTACCGAGATTCAGGGAATGCGCGATCCATAGCAAATTTTGGAATGACTTTATCCATTATTAAATTAACCCGAGACTCTAAACTAAGTAGACTGCTCAATGTGAAACCCAAGGAAGAACTGCTTTCTTCGGAGATATCTCCTGAATTCGACACCTCGCTTCGACACGCCCATTTCTTAGGTCCAGAAGTTTCTGTTCTTATCTTATTGGCGGGGACCCTGAATATCGGGATGCTTTGGCGTAACTATGCCATGTTAATAATTACCTAATTGGCTGGACTTACATTTATACGAATAATTCTGTGACTAACTGAATTTACAAGTAACCCCAGCCTTCCTCTAGTGACTCCGTATAGCAATACGGGACGGATTAGTCAATCTCATTTAATATATTCTTAATAGCTTGGAAAATCAGCCTAAAAACCAGCTATTTGATCTGTTACTTTCCTTTCCAATTATTATCAATTTAACAATTTGATTTAATTCTAATTTGGAACCTCTACGCTATTCTCGTGGTTTCGTGGGTTATTAAAAATATGGGTTTCTTTGTTCTGTCCCAGCATAGGTTGGCGCCTCCGGACGCGACAGATGACTGTCACATGGCTCCGACTCTAAGTGAAGTTGTTCAAAAATTATTGCTAAATTTCTCCGAAGGACGACGCTAAACCTACTTGTGACCCCCTTAACTTTCGATAATTAGTGTCGACTGAAATATTTTACCTTTTGGCCCATCTGTTCCGAGAACTAATAAATAAATTACTACGTGTCCCGGCTTTTGTTCCATTGGTCATTGTAGCCTGTTAATGGATTGGGACGATTCAGTTACACCGACAAATAGCCTTAATGCAGAAAAATATACTTAAACATACCTTGCAGCAATTATAAACATCATTCAGAAATGATTTAAATCAAAATACTTAATCCAGTCTAATCAAGCAGTATACACTACACTAATGAAAAACCAAAAAAACTGAAATTTTATGTCAGCACTGCTTTAATATCGCAATATTTTTAGTGTAGACAAATTCGTTCATACTAAAAGAATAGCGCCGAACTTTTCGCTACTTGTTAAAGTGCATTTCTATGTTCTATATCTCATGTCGCACGGAATACGTCAGGTCTTTATTCCGTCCCTTTCAAACAACTAAGTGCACATTTTCGCATTTGTAAAGTTCCGTTGTCAGATGACATCTTAATGTAAGTCGAGATCGCTGCCAGCATGAGGGTTGTCGCGGGAACTAGTTTTACCAAAGTTTATGTTTTATTGCAGCGTTTCTCAAACTGTGCGTTTGAGGAAGGGTCTTATTGTGTGTGGTTTAATGCCCGTAAAAGTACCAGATAAACATTTAGCTAAGAGCAGAGTACGCTGTTTTTGACGTTAATGGAGATGTGCTACTTAGTGGTGGAAGAAATGTCGCCGAAGATTTATGGTCCGGCGGAAGAGGGGGAATATTTTGGGAACCTCTGGTTTGGTGCGGCGTATGTAAGCGGGCGATGACTTCACTCGTACCCTTGTCGACAGGGAAAAATCTAAGAAAGAATTGTCTTTTTTTATTAAAACAACATACAGATATGTCCTGGTAACAAAATATTTAACCAGCTTCAGTCAATATTATTCTAGCAATAAGAATATTATAACTTCTCTATTCCTATTGACCTCAGTGGTGTACGGTGTATATCAAAAATAAACTAGTCAAAAACTGTGCCAAAATGTTTGTAATATGTGAATCTTTAATAATAATAATAATAATATCTCTACTCCTCATTCTAATTACGAGAATTAGCCCATAAGTCGGAGACTTGTGTGGGAGAGGAGGCGGCATATTATTATTAGGCAGGCCGCATTTGCGCCCATGAACGACTTATGTTGGTAGGCCCTAACCACCATTCAGTGCAGGAGTGAGGGAAACCTGGAAAACCTCATTAATTAGGGGGGTGGTCAAATGCCAACCGGTGTCAATCTCGCACATTGACCCAAGCCAACATTCTTCCACCCTACCATACCTGCACAGAGGGTGCCAATCCTCTGTACAAGCGTAGCTAATCTACGGTGTACCGGCCGCGGGATTCGAAACTCGGGCATATCGACACATCGATTTAAGTACTGACGCCTTAAACCATGCGGCTATCGACCGTGTAAATGTTAATTCAAATACATTATTTGTTTCAGAATTTGGGAAAAGGAGTACGCCATGACATCGATATGGTAAGTGGATTCATTAAAATATACTTTCCTTTAAATCCTTTAAATATCGAATGCTTTCATTTTGTGTTCAACTTTTCTTAAACGGGTCAATTCAAGAATTGATCAAGAAATTGTTACAATTTTACACGTGTGGCACTTTTCTACATATTTCAACAAATTGTTTCAATGTTAGTAAAAAATAAAGTTGCTTTTATGATAAAAATCGTAAAATATCAGAGAAGTTCAAACAAACAAATCAATAAAAGAACGGTACCATCGAAACCATATTATACAGGGTGTTTCAGGATTAAGTCGACAAGCTTTAAGGAGATATTCCTCATAAAAAAAAAAATAATAACTGAATTTTGACGTTCCTAAATAACGGCTTGTCAAAATAATTGACATTTTGTACCCACCTATTATATATATAACTAATTATAACATCAATACTGACAGTAACCAAGAAAAACTAGATATTATATTAATTTATGGAAAGGGTCGAAAGAACGCTAAAGCTACCAGGTATTTATACCAATATCATTTTCCGTAGAGACAACTTCCATCAGAGAAAATTTTCGGAAAGTTAGCCAGGAATTTGGCGGCAGATGGATGTTTTCAAAAGAAAAGAAGAGTTTTTAAACCCAGAAGGGCAAGAGATGAAGAACATTCGATAAAGATGTTAAATGGCCTGCTAGATCTCCGGATCTCACTCCTATAGATTTCTTTCTTTGGCCTTATCTAAATGATATTGACCTTAAAAATAGAATAAGAGTGGAATGTCGGAGATTAAATGAAAAAACACTAGAATGTGTTTGTAGAAAGGGAGTTCTGTGTTTGGAAGCAAATGGTAGTCATTTTGAACATTTGAAATAAGTATTGTTTTAAATCGTTATATTATTATCGTATTAAAAATAAAACATGTTACTTTAAAAAACATAGTAGCTTGTTTCCGCAGCTGGCTATCATTTTCAGAATAAAGCTACTGAAAGTAGGGTTAATCTTTTTTTCTGTTTTTCTAGCAATATTTCTAATGAAACTATAAACTTCCTTACATAACTGAACGTTGAAAAAAAATATCTTCCAGAATTGATAAAAAAATATATAGTGTGCCATTTGAACAAAAAACAGTTGACTATAGCAATTTTGACATACGTTACCATGGAGACGATCTAATAATGTAATTTGATAGAGTTTGAGCGGTGATTTAGAAATATATAGCTATTTGTTAGAATAAAAGAGATACAGGACCGCGAATATCAAACTGAATCACCCGGTATATAGGAGGCTGTAAATTGGCATCTAAAAAATCATAAAAACGGCTTGGATAACGAATTAATTAAGGGTCTCGTCTTAGGAGCACGGTCGAAGGAAAAAATTATTCTAAAAATACCTACGGAGGCCCTTTAAAAAATTGGAAATATTCCGTGGTTCATTTGTGTTTACAAAAGAATTTTTTTATTGTGGAACAGAGCCAAGTTGGTCCGACGAAAAAAATGTCTGGCGCCAGAGGTTTTACTTACATTATAAGTCTGGAATTATTTTCATTGTTATCGAATATTTGACTAAGCGTGACTTTTAGTATTGATTGATACATTGTTAGTGAAAAAACACGTCATTGAAGGCAAGATGAAATCAGTTCCAAACTTCATTTTTTTGTTTTTGAATAAAACATTTATCATCTCGTATAGGTTTGTTAAATTAGCTAATATTCTTTGCTTTTAATTATAATAATTTACTTCTGCAAACATCATCTTTCATCAGCTGTAACGTTGTGTAACTTAAGTCTTATGATGCGATGGCGATTCTCTTCCTGTTGTTTTTATCGTTTCCCGAACAGAATTCTCTCTCTTCGTTGGATTTTCGTGTGAATTTTTTCAGAGAATTCGAAACATGAAAATTTGAATGATCAAAATAGATTCAAAACATCGGTAAAAATTTTAATTCTCGACCGGCGGGCACTGTCTCGGTAGATTAAAGGAATAGCTTGACATTATGCTGTTTAAGCAATGTTGCAGCAAATTTATTTTATTGATCAACGTCAATTTCCACAAAAAGTAAAAAAAGTGTAAAGTATTCGATCAAAATAAAAGAAACGCAGAACATGGAACACTAAGTGCAGAATAGGTACACCCACCTGTTTTCACTGAAAACATCCTGGGCATTTGTGGAATTCTATTATGAATATTAAACATGCTTTTAGAGGACCTGCGAATTATCCACTAAAAATATACCCCTTTCAGCATTAATCGAATTATTCCCCCTCAGTATTTCAAGAACAAATCCGGAGCCTTAAAATGAAAGGACAACGCGCCGTTCAGAGGCGTTGCGACGCTTTAAATTCGACGAATATCTCAAAGAAATCGTCATATCGAAGAAAGTACTTAAAGAGGAGCTACAATTTTTTTTTCCGCCTTTCAGTCGACACACAAGAATTGTAATGTAAAAACACGTTAAAAGCGTCGCTTTAAAGATGTGCAGTAAATCGGAATTTCAATCTGTGCCTTTCTTGTTACACGAAACGAGCACAAAATGGGTATGCATGAACAAATATTATCTATTCAACAGAATTACAGACATTGGATTAAGCTTCTAAGTATATTTTATATTAAAATTTCTCACCCAAACTTAGAAATGGGTTTTTGTTATGGTTTTTTACCAAAGTGTTAAGGAGAATCAAGTTCACTTTAAGTATATCCCTAAATTCTATCCAGATTAAGTTACGTTAGGCGCATTTGATATGAAATATGTGGGTATACCATAGTAAAAACTCGGTAGACTAGTTTATAATTGTCTAAAAACGGAAGAAAAACACATAAAATTAGGTTAACTTGTAACAGTGCAGCAGAAGCCGAATTGTTGCTCAACAGTCCTCTGACAGACGAACGACAGCCAGAAACAGCCATGTGGGTGAGACATAGGAAGAAAATTTAAATGCCCATGCAACTTTCAAATTCTCGAGCCAATCTGTTGAAGTGCTCGAAAAGTCGCTGCACAAGCAGCTGTCGAAAGTCAGATAAGCCAGAGTAACACCATTGATCAATCATGTTGTGAGTTTGGCCCTAGAAGAAATTGTTCAGACATTTATTATCTCTATGAAACCAATTTGTTTATATTCGGTGAACAAAAAAAACTTTTAGTGCAAAAAATAGTGTTGTAGTCGCGCTGATTCAGAACTACCGCGAAAAAAATAATTAAACAGATTGTTAGTAATAGAATGTATCACTATAAAGATGCGAGACAATCCAACAAATAAGAACAGGTATAAAACTTTATCTAATTGTGAGTTCACGTGTTATATTGGATTCAAGTAAAGTATATATTTTGCAGTAGATTATACAAGGTGTTAGAAATTTGACTGCCTTAATTTTAACAGACTATAGAATACGTTAAAATAAACAAAAAAACCTTATCTGACATGGATCCTACACTCAACCATTTCCGAGAAAAAAAGTCTAATGTAAATGGACTTTGTGACACAACTTTTTTTTGTGTATTAGTTGCATAATATTTTGTCCACCATGGCGTCCGTAGAATTAGCGGTTTTGAATGATTAACAGCTTAAAAAAATCGCTAAACTACATGCCTTATGCATAAAACATATACGCGTTTACATAACTTGAAAAGTTAACATAACCATGGAAGCAGAATGTTTCGTTAGCCTTTTGTCATATTTACATACCCAACAATTCACGTCAACAAAACGTTCCGGGTGAAAGGGACAAATAGATTTCATTTTGCCAGAGTAATGTTATTGGAGGAACACCGGGTCATGGAAATTGTTTTTCATTATGCCGCTACTTTTGACGATGAAATAGGGTGGTGTAAAACGCGAATGCATGGGCAATATGCAACTTTAAATATAGGTTATGTGGCAGTCATTTGACACAAAGGATGCGGAAAAATCAATTTTGAATTTAAAGGTGTTTCAGGTAATTTTAACGTAGCTTTCTAGTTTTTTTAGTAAATGCGACAACTAAATATTATTTAATAATTTCTTGAGAGTGTAACAGTGTCGCGTAGACAAATATTCGAAGCAGGGGACACAAAATAAACAAATATACAAGATTAATTTTTTTCCAAAATAATTTTTAAAGGCTTTAGAAAATGAATACATTATCGCATTTGAATTAAAAATAAAAACAGTCCTCGGATATTGACGGTGAAACGTGCATCAGACCATCGATACATTCATGTGCATGCAGCAAGAAATTTAAATCTATCGTATTCGAGTGTGATTTCGACGCTGGTACAATAAATTTAAATTTTTTCGATCGGTGGCAATCCACGAGGCTATAAATATCAAAGTAAAGCTTCGACGTCCAAATAGAAAAGCAATAAAAGCAGTTGTGATGCATTTAATCTTTGGTTTTTATGGCACAAATCAACGTGAAATGCCAGGATTCTGTATTTGGTTGGGAATTTATATTTTCTGCTGAATTTATTGAGTGAAAAAAAAGGAATCGGCATTAAAATGAATTTTGGCGTAAAGCAATTTTTGTTTTTAAATTAGCGCAGGAATTTTTATTCTCTTTTTAACATTTGAAATCAAAGTGGTACATTAACTATATAAAGTGTAAAACAATATATAATAATAAAAAAAACGTTTTCCTCGTCCAAATTTAAGAATATTCTCGTTTATACATTTGCTCTGATGTCTTTTTTTTTTGAGAAAATGTGAACTCAATGTGACAAAATCAAGTCTCAACTCTAGGCAGTAGCGTAGATATGAGTTCATGGACTGACACTATCTGTTGGCATTCTTGACATCATGGCCCCACGTTGGGCGCCATATCGTGGAATGTGATTGGTTATCCCTCGGCGCTATGTTAAGGTATTTCAGAAACTACTAAAGATATGATAAATCTGACACGACGTTCTCGAGTTCGATTTTCATGGCAAACTCAACTGTCAAATCAAAAATTTGCTATCTTCATTTGTTTCTGAGTTACAGGGCGTTTCTCGTTATTGTCATGTTTTTTAACATGTCTGTATCTCAGCTGTTAAATAAGTTAGAGTTAAAG